TCCATTCCAAAACTTTTACTTCAACATAACATACTCTCCATCTCTCCCCTCTTCTCTTCATTAAACCAAACTTCAATTCCAACCCTCTATATCTATTACTGTCCATGCTTCTTGTTAGCCACCCACAAATTCTAAACTATTCAGCAACCCTTTCTAACAAACACTTCAGTCCTCTTTTTACATTTTCACACAATTCCCTTAGGGTTTGGTAGCGGACCTCTGGTGATCTCAGCTTTCTGTAGTTGTTCAGTATCCCACCATTCATTCAAAACAACCATAAATTTCTTTCCTACTCAATTTGAACATAGCCATCTATTAATCTTTCAATTTCAAGTTAAGGCCAGTACATAACGCAGACACATTCAACTTATAACTTATCCATCTAATTTTTTCATGTACCTAGTGTTGTCTTATGACAGATAGGGCTTTTTTTAAGTTATAATTTGAGTTCTATATGATAAACATAATACACAACCATATCCCAACCATCAAATTTTGTTTATTTCACACAATAGTTGAACGAACACCTTAAGATCCTCATATCCATTATGAATAAAATCAAATTACACAACTTATTCATCTTCAAAGATGACACTACAAAAACTTTTTCGTTTCACTTAATATCAACAAAGCCAACCATACCACCATCACAATTTAAGACAACTTATACCTACAACAAACCTAACTTATAACTTATCCTTTTTATTTCTTTTGTACCTAGTGTTGCCTTATGACAGATAGGACCTTTCTTAAGTTATAAGTAGATTATCATACTATCAACATACTACATAATCATGTCCCAACCATCAAAAAATCTTTCGTTCATTACATATAATAGCTAATACAATAAAACTTCCACACCTTTTAGTCTGTTACCACCTTGTCAGACATTTATGTTCATGAACTTATAACTCAAAATTTTCACATTTGCCAGGTACCAAATGTTGCTTTTGACATACAGGGCCTTTATATTTGAGTTAAAAGTTAAATAACACGTGAACATTTACTAAAACAGTTTTATTTTATTCATACAAGAACACTTCCAATTCTAAATAAATACATTTAGATCCAACCATTAACATCAAAATTTCTAAAATTCAACCTTTCACATGTGTCTAGCTTGTATTTTCTGGGTACCAAATGTTTAAGAAACATAAAGGGCCATATAATAAAAATTTTCTATATTACATTGCTACATACATGCATAGTTGGTTGCATAACTACAACCATACAATTTTTTCTCCCTTATATCATCTTATTTACATAAATTTAAAACTATAATATTGATGGTTGATACTGTTATATTAGTTCACTTAATTTTCACAATTTTAAATAACGTTGGCTTTTGTCTTAAGTAGAAACATACAGCTACATTGACTGCTCTGTGATAATTTCCGTCATAACTTAACAATATTGTCATCAAATGTCATTGCCAATCAGTTGCACTCATACAGTCCTCGAAGAAATACCGTCTCAGGACTAGCAACTTCAACGTGGAGTCATATGTCGCCATGTTACCTAATCCATCGGTAACTCTATAATCTTAAATAATTATAACGTATTTTTAAAACTAAATGTAATTAAACATCTGTTAACGGGTTTTTACCCATATATTTAATCTTGGTGGCTACATTCATGTACTCCTAGTAAGTATTAACCACATTTTTCATTAACCTTAGTCAAAATTTTAACCTATGTTCTTTTTGATTAAGTGGTTAACTATTTTCTAGGACACTGATGATGGAACATGATTTCCGAAAACGTTATGTTTTATTTAACTTAGCCCATTTGGGCCTTAAATATATACCTATTACAAAGGATTTTTAATTAAATTTATACATCAAATATAGCCCAGTATATTGATATAATAAAACTTCAAGCATATCAACTCGATTAAAAAATTGTGTTCGTCCTAGAAATTCCACTAGTCGACCCTGAAATCTATACCTTATACCATTTAAATTCGATACCAATATTAGATAATCAAACTGGTCTTTTTCATACACTTTCTACAATACATAAGTATATAGCGCGAGATGATGATTCAATTTCATATGTATTACCCCGAAACACAGAAGAATGCAAATCAATTGGTCCAAACCAAAGAATGTGCACAGATATTCTTCCCTATCCAATAGACAGTGATACTATATGTGAAGCCCAGTTATTGAAACCAGTTAGCGTTCTACCAAAAACTTGTCAGATGTCGACGTTTTTAGCACAAGATTACAATGTGCAAGAAATTGACCGAAATTTATAATTAATAACAGTATCCGATCCATTACCAGTCACAATCAAGTGTGAAAGAAAAGACATTAGTACCCAGACAATCAAAGTAAACACAATTCTAAGATTACTAACCGAATGTACAGCATTTATTGGAAGTACTAAAGTCCACGTCAGAGATCAAATCGATTAATGTTCCATATAGATGGTGTGACCATTTCGAAAGAAGAAACCATATAGCAAATTTGAAACCATTACAACTCAATAAGATCAATGCAGACGATTTAAATATTGCACAACACAAGCTGGACCAATATTCAGAAGAACTCGACCGAATCATGAACGAACCATTCATCGAAGAACATCTGCCTTGGTTCAATATAGTGTCTTTATTATTAATTATCATTCTAGTTGTTGTATAGATCTTCTGCAAATGTAGACGCAAAAGATTTTCAAGACTTGCCATGAACTATCCGCAGGACTCACCTCCACCTTCACCACATCGCAGCAGTTCTATTAAACAGAAACTTAAAGGATTAACCTTTAAAAGAAGACCAGACGTACGCTCAGAAAATGAAGAAGTATCAGAAACCCCAATTGAACTTGAAGCAAGGCATCGACTTTTCACTAGCTGGTTCACATGAGGGGGGCTGTTATATGTGAAAATAGTCACCTTGAACCATTCAAGGGTTACCGACACTTTGGTTTCACAATATCAGTTCCTATTTCATCATCCTTTCAGCAAGCGTTCCCATAGAGATAGCTGACCATGCACGGACAATAAACTCTAACCAAAACAGGCCTTTAGTGGCAACAAAAAACAAAAATGCCGACACCACATTTTGTAGAAAGATTATAAATTTAGGCATTATTGTTTCACTCGTCATTTAAGTTTCTTGCTAATAACATATTTGTATTATAATTTTATTTGCTTCATTTTATCGTAGAACAAAGTGTAACTTTTAATTGTGAAATAAATATTTTTTTAAAAAATCAATCAAAAAGTTACTGATTTAACATGATTATTTATATATATATATATATATATATATATATATATATATATATATATATATATATATATATATATATATATATATATATATATATAAGGATCACTCAGACGAGTGGTGGGTTCTTATATCGGTCTCTAGGTGGAGAAATAAAAGACAAAGTTGATAGGCTACTTATCTATTTTGAAGACGTTTCGCTTTCGAGTTTTGAAAGCATCATCAGTTCATCTAAAAAATTTTACAATATGAGAACCACACAATCATGGAAACGATGTTAATTGTTACCTTAAAAAGACATGTAGCAGTCAATGTTATTAACAATAATGTGAATGAAACTAAGTAAATGGACATAATACGCTGATTTTGTATAAACAGTTAAGTAACTAACAACATATATGAACTTATAAAATTAGCACAGCAAATGACCATGTGGTCTAAGTAAATTAAATGTTATTTAATGTTAATTAGTGAGAAAGAACTAAGAAAATCGTAGATAACTTCCAACTATTTAATGAATATTAAGCTTTGATTTTAACTTTAGGTAGCATTATAAGTGATATTAATAAAATTTTAAAAAGTAGTATAAATGAAGTTACCGATCAAAGCCCTATGAATGTCGCCGGGAAAATGGCGTTAAATGAAACAGGAACGAACTAAACCGCGAAAAGACAGCCAACCTTGAGGTCAAAAATACTTTCGACAGATCAACAAGGTGTAGGTACCAACCCAAATTTTGGGCGGTCAATTTAAGTTTAAATGAGTTAGGATGACTATCCGGTTGTAAAAGACAACACAGTGAAAAAAGTTGGTAGTGTAATAGCAACTCCCCTCACTAATCAGTCCAGATTTACAAACAGGAGATTTTCATTCAACCTCATAAGTATGTAATAACGTTAATCATTATGGCTAGTTAAACAACCACAGGTGGTTAACGATCGATCAATTTCCAAACAGCCCAAGGTTCAATATACTTGGAACTGTGATTTGCAAAGGATTATATGAATCAATTATAATATTTGTATTATTTCAGTATAAAATTGTTAACACTAATCAAAGTAATCAGTGTATGGAAATGCAATGGAAGTTGCATATGTAATAGTAAATTAAGTAAAGAATATTAAATTATTTTATTGAGATATTTATGTATTTTTTTGAGATTTTATTATTTATGTATTTGAAACGTCTTCAAAATAGATAAAGTAGCCTATCAACTTTGTCTTTTATTTCTCCACCTAGAGACCGATATAAGAACCCACCACTCGTCTGAGTGATCCTTATATATATATATATATATATATATATATATATATATAATATATATATATTGGATTGACGGTCGTACTCCTTTTTCCGATATATATATATATATATATATATATATATATATATATATATATATATATATATATATATATATATATATATGCTTTCTGTAGTTTTCCGGGTTTGACTCCGCGTTGAATAATTTTGGTTTTGATAAAAACCATTATTTTGACGACGTTTCGGCAACGTCGCATTTGCCATTGTAAAGTCAGGTAGTAGCGCTTCTCGCTGATGCTTGAAGTTAACTAAGTTAACTTCAAGCATCAGCGGAAATGGCAAGTGCAGTCTTGCCGAGACGTCGTCAAAATAATGGTTTTCATCAAAGCCAAAATTATTCAACGGGGAGTTAAACCCGGAAAACTACAGAAAGCACATATATCTCCCGCGGAAATTTCAAGTGTAACTAACATGATAAACAATACACCAAAGAATACATACTTTATCTTGTAAAATAATTGATCCATTCTTATAAGCTGGGTGTTGATAAAATTCGGTTTTAGGAGGAAAAACTAGCAGATTGGGAACATGAATGTCTATCATAAATTCTCTCCCCTTTAAAGATGAAACTGTTTCTAAAAATCCTTTGTAATCATTTTTATTTAAGAATCTATTCAGCACCCATCCTTCTTCACGAAATGATTCTACTGCTTCTGTTAAATTGGAAATTAAAGTATTTATCCGAACATACCGTGGTTTATTGTCATTTTCTACAAAATAAGACAATTTAAAATAAATATACAAATAAAAGCTTAAAAAAAGTGCATAAAATTTTGATAATATAATGTATGAGTGTTAATAATATTCTGAAGAACTGATAGATTTTCTTGTTTGGATTTGTGACAGTTATTCTATCGAGCGCATTCCTCTGTAAATAGGGGATTCGCAGATGGTCCCTTTTGTATATTCGGAGCACTGATACCCAAAGAGTAACCAGCACACCTGCCACGAAACAAAAACTTACACCTGTAGGTGAAAATTGTGAATAATGTTCAAGTAGGGATACTGCCTGGAGATCGCCAAAGTTTGTCTAGAGCCGACGCTGGACGTGACAGTATGCGGTAGGTCGGCAGCAGGGTACTGAGGAGACGAGCCCTGTCATAAAAACAGCTAAAGCACAACAGTGACAATAGCAAGGGAGTTAGACCAAGGGTATCCAATTTTTTTTGTCTCGGAACTTTAATTGAGGATATTTTTTTTGCAGAACCCTATTTTGATAAATAAAGAAATTACCTTGTACTTTGAATATTTTCATGTAAGACTGTAAAAAAAGGAAGACATTATGAATGAAAAATAATATAAGGAATACAAAGATAAACACAATTAACTAAGTAACTCCAACTATTTCAACGTGAAGAATGAAACTTTTTCACACATTTTCTTATAATAGTATTAAAATTGGGCTTAAGGTCTGACAATTGATTACAAAGATCCGGAGCTGCATCCAGCCTATTTCTGAACTTGTTTTTGGTATAAGCGTAAGTTGAAAACCAGTCTCTCATCGGTAAGTCGTCACAAAATGAAGTAGAGCCTTGATAGCTTTCTCAGCGATTGTTGGGTATTCATCTTTAAGTGCAATCCAAAAGTCATTCAGATTCGAATCTTCTGATTCGGATTTTTGTTTTAGAAGTTATGAACACTTAATGTCGATCAAGTTCTCATACTCTGTCATAGTTAGCATCGATGGGTTGGTATGTTTTGTAAATGGATTCTGAACCCAGTTGTTGTCCTGTAACTTCTTCGGGAAATATTCTTTCAAGGATTTTTCGAGGTTAATTAAATGTTCAATTATGTTTTGTTTTTCACATCTGAGGTTACTCCTAACTCAGTCTCTTCCAGGAAATTATTTAAAAGAGTAAAACATTGGTAATTTTTTTTCCACACATTCTATCCAGAAGCAAATTTTGATTTTATGGGACGCTACTTTGTCTTTTACTGTAAATGTGGTTATTGTTCTTCCTTGTAGAGACTGGCAGAATACGTCGAGTTTATCGAATATATCAGCTAAGTAAGCCAATATCAACAAACATACCGCATCATGCAATGGTTCAACAAGCAGATACAGAAATGGGTTGTTCAGCAAAGAATATCGTAAGATCGTTGCGCAATTCAAATATTCTTGATAAAACTTTTTCTTTTGAAAGCCATCTTAGTTCCGTGTGTAACAAAAGTGATTGATGCTGACTTCCTACCTCTTCACACGCTTTTTTAAAGAGCCCCGACTGAAGTGGATGTGATTTAACGTAGTTAACAATTTGTATGACTTAATCGAGAACTTTCTTTAAAGCCGATGGCATTTTTTTCTTCGTGACAAGGGCATGTCGATGCAGAATGCAGTAACTGCTACTACAGTTGGGTGCAATATTCTTTATTCTTGTTACAGTTGCTTTTCTCTTGCCGACCAAAGCTGCACACATCAATACATTTGTTCCAGTCAATATATTCATATAATAATCAATGACTTTAAAAATTTCTTTTCCTGTTGTGTTTGTCTCCAAGGATGTATAGAGAGACACATCTTCAATTGATCCTTCGAAGAGGTATCTCACGAAAACAAGCAGTATTGATACTCCAGCGATATCTGTACTTTCGTAAAGTTGTAAAGTAAACATCTCACTGTCTTTCAACCTAAAAATTAATTCGTCCTGAATGTGGTCTGAAATCTTATGAATTCGATCAGATATGATGTTATTAGAACACTGAACTGTTGCAACTTTTTTTCCTGCATCTTCTCCGAGTACGCAACTGAAGATATCTGCAATACCTGGTTTGATTAAATTCTCTGCAATCGTGTGTAGTTTACTATAACTTAGCAGGAATTATGCTTGTATTGCGTTTTCATGATCTATTTTAATATATCTCTGTAAAGCAGCCATACCGATTTTATGTACTTCTTTGTGTCTGTCAAAAAAGCTTACATTTTTATCTTTCAGTTGCGGATGATTGGTGTCAAGATGCCGTTTAAGCTTTGCAGGTACAAGAGAGCTATTGCACATAATTTTACTGCAAATAACGCATTGTCCATCTGAATTTTTAGCAATTCCCGCAGGAATAAATCCAAAAACAAGTAGGATCATATTTTCTCTTTTTTTGAAATAGTTTTCTCTTTAGATTCAGCCTTTATGTTGGTCGATGTATTTTGTCGGTCTTATCTAGCACCAGGGTATTCCGTATTTACTTCCGTACTATATAATACATTGTTAATGATCACCAAACGACATTGATAAATAACCAGCAACAACAATAAATAAACTTTATAAATAATAAACAACAAAAATATTAAATGAAAAGTAAAAGTGGTCATTAGTAAAACTGTAGGTAAAGGTAAGTTAAGTAGGTTAGGTAAATAAAACTTCCTTACAGAACAACCAGCAACAGCTTCTACAATATTTTCAGTAGGCTCTACTGGTAAATGTGATTGAACACTTTTGTCACTTGCAAGTCGTCTCGTTTTAAAAATATTTATGAATAAGTAAAAACTTGTAAAGATCTAATGGATGAAAAAACCTGTAAAGATCGAAAATTCCCGATTAAGGCAAGAACAATTAATATCACTGTAACCTATTTTCTTTAAATTACACCATTAACATGAACCGATTTAGTCTGGTGTCGCGGTAATTGACTCGCTCGACTGGCGCGCGGGCTTATGGTTCTGCCCCCCCCCCCCGCGTACTACCGTTGCGCGCCCAACACACAAGAGCGCCCACGCCGCTCACGGTGCCGCAGCGCCAGCACTTCACAAGGGTGGATAGCCGGTGGCTTACCCTCGCCACTCAACCAAATGGTTTAAGATGTTTACAGCCACTACCATTTGTAGCCACTCTTTTTATGTCATCTGTCCATCTCGTACGCGTGGAGCAAGAGTGGCTACAAATTGGATTCAGATGGCGCAAAATCGAACTAAGTGGAAAAGCATGCGAGAGGCCTATGTTCTGCAGTGGACGTTAGAGGCTAGTTGATGAGTGCACCATACCGAGGTTTAAGCGAAAAGTCGTAATTAGATGTAGTTATGAGTCTTTTCTACGAATGTTTTATTTAATTGTCGGACGGATGCGGAACCCCTGCGCCCCTTCTATGGAACCCCAGGGTTCCGCGAACCACCATTTAGGAACTGCTGAGTTAGACAACACTAAGAGCACCACTCTCCGAAGGTACTGCGTGGAAACATCAGCCAGCACTCGGTCAAACAAGAAGAGGGTTTCTACATCTCCTCGGGTTGGGTTTGGATATCAGGAAGTAGATGATCGATATGTGTACTATTATGTACTGTCACATCATGAGCTAGTTGCTCGACAGTGATCTCATTTTTGGACAATCCTTTGCTTACCCTCTAATAGGACGGCAAGGACGAACATAACGTACTATCATTAGAAAACTGTAAATGCGAAATTTAATAGTTTTGCAAGTTTCAACCAAACATAAACTACCAGTATAAGTTCCCAACTTAATCTAATCTACTGATAGTTTCTATAAGTTCCGTGACTACCACTGTGTATCTTTAGTAATATTAAACTTATCCTAAGAAATTTGTTTGAATTTGAAATTTGTGTTAACTTTATGGAGCATCTTAACGTGAATAATTATATGAAAATAAAGTATTTTAAGCAGGTATCAAAAGGGCAAAGGGTCCGCCGCTAGAGCTACGCAGCAATCGTAATTAACGAGCGATTTAGTTTATGCAGGTTGGCGAAAAAACATCAGAATTATAATACACTCAGGTAAATGTATTTTTTCACTGTATTGTCACATACTCCCTCTTACAACTAGAATCAGTGGTCTCTTTATTACTTTTTAAAAATATTCAATTGAAGGAGTTAGAATAAAAATAGTATAAGTAACATAAACACTGTTTTGAAACAATCGAGCTTAAAGTTGTTTGGCTTTAAAAAAATCCAGAAAATGTTTAACTCATAGCTTTGATTGTTTTAATTAGAAGGAAAATATGAAATTTTAGTTAAACTTTAGTTTTGGAAAATATTTTGTTTTTTTTGCAAAAAGAAGTACTTATACCTTTTTCCCAGAACATTAGTTAAATTTGATTAAAATGAAAAAACAAAACATTTTTATTCAAATTAAATACCTATCGTTTCAAACATTAAACTCAGAGTTGATTCAGACAAAATTTTCATTCCTATTTCCATATCATTTTCAGAATCCTTGGCATTATTAGAATCATAAGCTGTAAACTGCTTTAATGTAGATGAGGCACTTCTGATATTAATTTATTACTCTTTTTCTGTCTTGTTGTATTGCCATGTTACTTAAAATCATGATACTGCGGTGGTATGTATTCCATGAGGGAATGCAAATTGTACCATTTCTGTGCTAATGCTTAGAGAATCCCCATTTAATTCGGTGCAAAACACCTTTCTAAAATTATTGGCTGGTCTATCTTTACCCAAATAAGGACAGGTACACGTAGAGAAAGGAAAATATTCGCTTACGGTTTAACTCTTAAAATTAAAAAAATAAATCGCTAAGTTTTTGCTATATTTGAAGTGACGAATTTCTCTGAACTTCAAACTATGTCTCTCGACATTCTTTGTTGGATCTCTTATTGGAGCAATGAGATCTGAAAATGAACAGCACTCTTTGTTCATAAAATATAGCAAAAAAGGTTTAGAAGCTGACCTTATTACATCAGTCCAGTCAGAAGGAATAAATATTTGTGGATTTTTTTTGCATTTTTTTATAAGACCAAAAGACTGGT